CCTGGCGACGACGAAGGACTGGTAGAAGTTCTGGAGGTAGTTGACGGCTGTGTGGAAGGGGGCGGCGATGTGGATGCACATGGTGATGGCGTCGGTCAGGTCGTCCAGAGTCTTGATGACCGGGAAGGTCTTGATGTGGGCTTGGGTATGGATCTCCTCGATCCAGTTCTTGATGTATTCGTCCCTTGCCACCGCGTCCGGGTCGTCCTTGTCGTAGTACAGCTCTAGCATGGACTTGACGTATGTCCGAAGAGAGACCCAAAGACCAGCCATGTTCTTGGCGTAGACGTAGTTCTTGTAGCGCGGGTTCTTGAGACCTTCCTCGGTGGACGGGAAGCCACGGGCCTTGAGGTCGTTGGGCACGTAGTTGCCGACAAAGTCGTAGTTGTCGTAAGCATGGCGCAGGAAAGAGGAGGATTGTTCAGGGCTGAAGCCAATGATGTCGGCAATGATCTGAGGTACCAGCGAGGTTCTTGCCGCGGCATTCAGGGACAATGTCTTGTACCAGTGAGGAGACAGAATCCGGTAGATGATGTGGTCCATGGGTATCGTCCGGTTGGTGGCCACGATGAGAGGCTCTTCGACCAGATGCGCATGAGTCAAATGTATGGCCAGCTCGTGAACAAGCCAGTCCGACACCTGAGCACATGTCTTTGCGTATCGCCAGGGCCAGTCGTCCTTCTCGCCCGCTGTAGAATCGGTGGGGAGGTAGCGCTTGTTGAAGACAGTCACCGACTTCGCCATGGACTCCTTGTAGTCAATGCAGATGGCGACTGGATGAAGTTTCCCGTCGTCGTGTAGCTGGAATAAACTGACCGAGGCACATGCCCAGTTGTCGTCGCTCCACTCCTGCTTGTGGCGCATCTCACCAGCTGGATCTTTCAGGCCAATGGCCTCGCGAAAGTAACTGCAGTCTTGCACATAGAGTGATTTCTTGTCAGCCTTGGAGAGGTTGATCACCCATTTGGCCTCCCCAGCAGCCTTGGCCGCGGCTATAAATTCCTCGAGCAGCTTGCCGGAGATGTTGGTGATGGTCGTAGGATTGCAACCCGTGAATCGCTGATCGGCAAACCGTCTGTCACTGTACCAGTCCTCGAGCATGCCCAGGTTCTCACCCCGAGCGATGTCCACAGCCGACTTGCGGTGGTACTTGTTGTAATCCACAACGTCCTCGATGGTCAGTCCAGTTTGTGGGCTCCCGGCAACGACTTCCCTCTCCTTGGACTGGATCCAGTCTCTGGTCTTGCCCAGGAACTCATCAGGGATCACCTTTTGGAGCAAGACCAAGGACTCGGCGAGACCAAGCACGTTGAAGATCTTCCACAAGGCCACTTCGTCCTGGTGCGGGATGTGGTCCAGGGATGGCGGATATGAAGCCGGTGTTCCATCCTCGTTGTTAGGGTAGGACGTGAACTTGTAGGACTGCTTCTTCTCTTCCAGGCTGATGTAGCGAGGGAGAGTAGACTCCACAGCCAGCACGTCAAAGTAGGTAGCATAGCTGTGACTTCGAAGTCAATGACATGGCCTTGAACGTACTTGCCATCTTCCCTACTCACCTCTGCTCGATCCGCTCATACAACTGCGTTATAGCTACTTGAGTGCCGGCATACGTGCCTTTGGTGATGTTGCCTCCAGCATGGCGTGACTTGGTGGGATCCTTGGGGTCAATCTTGGAGAAGATCTTGAGCTTTAACAGTTCGTTGTTGAGGACGCCTGGGTCATAGCTGGGCAAAGCCTGATCCTTGATCGAGGTCGGCAGCGCGCTCAAAAAGTCTTTCTCGTTCTCATGACGGAAGATGGCTTTGATGTCAATGACATGCTTAGCCGTCGGAGGAGCTGGTAGCAGAGGGTTGAGACTGGGAACCGTGTTGGCAGTCTTCTCGTCTGACTTCCTCCGTCGAAGCCTCGACAACATATCTAACAGGCTCATGTTTGGGAATGGTTGCGTATAGAACGGAGGCTAGCAAAGATCAACTATGACAATAGAGCTCCTACACTAGGATGACCCCTTGAGCAAGTCGTCTATCCAGACATGGAGCACAACATTATTTTATAGTCCATCAGAGGAGGGAAGCTAGTTATGGTCTAGGCGGGTCTACTGAACGGGGGCGCTCCGAATCTGGCTACGGCTCTCAGCCCTACGAGTCTCAAATGCCATGCATTGTTTGCAGCCAAGCATCACGGAGATGCACGGCGTCTTGGCGTAAGAGCGCATCGCCAGTGATATCCCCGTTTGGTCAAGGACGATGGGTGTCACATACCGGATCTGAAATGAGTACCGAGCGTACCACAGTAAGCTTAGTTGAAGGCAAGAACGACGGTATCGAACCCGAGGCTGTTGCGCTTGGTACACATCCTCGGGCGGCACCCAGTGCACAACCTGGAACCTCTTGTGGGATGCCACATTCAGCGCCACGACGGTCTGGACCAAGCCGCTAGCCCCAATCGTCAACACTATCGACTACTAGCCCACATCTGGACGAAACGGTAGCGCATATGCGAATGCATTCGTCCAAGTCGTTCCATAGATTCTCAAAATTCCAGTCCGTCCATCTTCGCCATGCAACGGCGTCGCAATTGTTGTGGGCAATCTCGAATGGCATTGTTGTATGGTAGTGGAATTCGGCTTGTCAGCCGCACTAGAGCTGAATATCTGCAAAGAGGAGTCAACCCGTCGGGAAGGCCCGTTATTGGTCCCCAAACGAGCACACTCCCGCGCCCACTTTAATCAACAATGAAAATGGTCAGTCAAAAGGACGGTGTTGTGCCCAAAGGCGGCCAAGCGGGAATGCACGGTCATGCCGTTCGTTTGCAGCTACATGTACCTGTCAGCCGGTTGACGAGGCTAAGTGCATAGATAACCAGACGGCTGAAGGAAAGCAAGCGCATGTCCTGCCACAATCGGCAGCCGGTTAATGCATCAATGTAGCTTATCTTCCAAGGTGTAACATGTCAGCGGGCAGCTCAACCGAGCTTCGAAGCCCTGTGCGCTGCCGTTGCGATATCTAACGGGGACGCCGATGATACCAAACTTCAGAGCATCAGTTTGATGCTGAAGAAGTCTGCCGGCCCAAGGCCGACCAATTGGTACGTGATACCCTTCACTTCGTATGGACCAGAACCATATAGTAAGGGAATGACTTCGATGGGAAGAAAAGGTATCATGATATGCCCAGCACTTTCTGTGAAGCTAAACTCCCAACGCCACGCAATGCTATCAATAACAAGGTTCTCAAGAGAAGTAAACCACATGAACATATTCAAAACCTTTTTTTCGAGAGTCAGTATTCTCCTTCAACTTTGGACGATCGACGGCAGGTACTCACCTTATCTCGTAGCTGCCAGCCCTCGTCATGTAGCGAACCCACTTGACACTGGAGTAATTGCTCTTCTCGAAGACTTTCAGGTACCGCACCAACAAGCCCGAACTGGTGAACATCAGCAGGCTGAAGTTCAAACTTAGCGGTGGCCGGCTCCACGCCTTCTGGTTGGTCATGCTGGTCAACTCGGCCTCGGCACTGAGCACAAACTCGCTGCCACCCGTGAACCGCCCAATCTTCCAGACAATGTTGTTCTCCGACGGCTCGTACTTGGCCTTTCCTTGCGTACACCTCTCCGTGATGCGTGCTGTGTTGAGCGGGGTAGGAATGCGGACGACGACATTGGTGGCAAACAATTTGGATCCGTAATTAGCCTTGATGCCAATACTGTATTCGACCTTTGTCTTTCCCACCTCGTTGACGATGGCGTGCACCTTGAACGGGAGGTTGACGTTCTCGGTCGCGCGGTACCTCATGAGCTCGAACTCGCCATCGGGCGGCACAAAGCTGATGATGCGGTCGGCGTCGAACTTACCGAGCTTGACGCATTGGTGGAACTGGCAATCCTCCAGCGTAACACTACCCGCTGCAGCTTTGGTTGCCTTGGTCCCCAACTTGTTCCCGCTCGGTAGACTCGCCAGTCCGTCGTTATCCAGCAGCAGCCGGTCATTGAGGCCGAATTTGCACTCGGGCGTCCCGCTGAGGTAGGCACGCATGATGATCTGACCCGTTACGTCCGCTCGTAAGATGGAGCCCGTCGCGGACATGAGGAGGTTGACATCTTCGATAACGTCAACGAAGGCCTCGTTCTTGCGGTACTTGACGTCGGCTTTGCGCCAGGACAGCGCGCCGGTGGCCTGCATCGTGATCTTGGCCGAATCCTCCGGCGCCCGCTCAGACTTGACACCTTCGGTGGTAATATACATCTTGAGCGTGTCTGTCTCCGTATTCTGTGGGTAGCCGAAATCGATGATCTCGTCGAGCAGCTCGTAGACAAGCACAAAGTTGTTCTTAACGGCCTCTTCGTCAAACTTGCCGAAGTAGCCGCGCCCCAACTGGATCAGGCGATACAGGAATTCGAAGACAAGCGCCGCGTTGGCGTTACTCTTGGTAATGGCCACCAGGTAGATATTCTCGTGCTTGACATGGCTGAAGGTGGTGCTGCCCAATGTCAATATCGGCGAGCGCACCTGAGGGTTGCTGATGACCTGGATGCGAAAGACATCGGCAAGTCGCGGTCGGCAATCGTTGCGGAATGCCCGGAAGATGAGGTTCTCACCCTTCTGGTTGAAGATGAGAATTCCCGAGAGCATCTTGGCAAGTGGCGTCTGCCGCAGACTGTTGGCGGATCGAGATGGGATCGCAACTGAACGAGATATGTTTTACAGGTGCATGGAGGGCCAGTGTTAAGCCTAAGGTAAGGGGTGGCAGAATTGAGGGCCAATGTGTACACAGATCCACTTTCAGGGGGAGCTCCTCGAGGGCGGTCAGAAGTCGTACCTCCAGCTGCAGTTCTTATCTAGACACGATCCTGGAAGTCTATGAAGATATAGGCAGATTCCATTCCATCTTCTATGCATGACCATCTCACCTAATCGAGATGCGTGATCATTATCCATGGCATTGTTCTTCACCGTTGTTTGCCAGACAAGAGGGCTGATAGTGCCCAAACTCAGATATGGGCGAGTAGTCTAGGGGTTATGATTTCTGCTTTGCACTCGAATAAGAGTAATTGCAGAGGGTCCCGCGTTCAAATCGCGGCTCGTCCATGTTTTTGCTGGATTGCCAACCTTTTTGCCTGTCATTGCCACTACCCGCAGAACATTTCTCCAAATCCTATACACATTCCCGTCACAGGACATAGCTTCACGTTGCTATACTGCATGACAATATCAGGCCATGTAAGTGCTTACAGGTAGATATTCCGACCAGGCACGGTAAACAGTCTTACGAACACAACCCCCTTTTCTAACCGAACGTGCTACTAATGTCTGGGCAGGACTTAGACTGGAGGTTACTCTGGACATATGCATGCTTCATCGCTTGAACCACATACAGGAGGAGTAGGTCAGGCGTAAACAGCCCCGGGAAAAGCTATATCTTACCACAACCATTTTGTGATCTTTGGTATACTCGACAGAACCACCCCTGCGCATGCCTGGATGTGAGTTCATGAGATTCATGTGTCATCTCACTCACTTTCTTACAACTTCTCCCTAACTGACTTGTTCCAATCCATCTTGGGGTAAACCTAACACATGCTCTGTAGGGTACTCAGCAATGAATCGATCTGGTTCTGGACCTCTTTGTTATGAGTAAATAGAAAATAACAGCTTGGAGCTGCCCTCAGGGTTCCTGTTTCGTTGCTCGACCGGACTGATTCGCCTCCGTCTTCCAGAGTCTCGTCCGGAACAGGCTCCTGTGAGGTATGTTCGCACCCCCAAAAGGCATCGAGTACGTCCGTGGCTAGAGAGAGGAAGTTGTGGTACTTCTATAAGGTGTCGTTAGGGTTAGCACGGTCTGGACAATGATAAACTTTGACTAATTGAAGTTCGTTGTTTGCTGAGAAGCTTTTACGGGTTTTCCAGACTGTGTTGAAGATTGATCTTGGCTAAAGCATCGGTGAAACCGGCCATAGCGATCCGGTTCGCTACGATGATAAGCCAACCGAATCCTTAAACCGTATGAGCTAGCTGGTGGCTTCGCCGGGTGGGCTGTTGTGGACCAGGGACGGGAGCTTAATATCAGTCTGGGCGGACAATGCAGAGTCTGGGCTTTACCAGCTACCGCGTGGAAGTTGGTTGTGATTCTGCCTCATGGTCACCTGGACACCGTTCCTAAAGTATGTCGAGGCCACCAAAGGAAAAATTGCGAAGCTGGGCTACACCATCCCAGAACCGCTGCCTTTGCGATCTCGAACATGGATTTCGGCCCAAGGGTTGGTGGATGACTCTTACCAGCAAGCCATGTGTCGTACTATCACCCGTGTCTTTCATTCCCAGAAGCAATACAGCAGCCCCAGATTCTCCTCGGTTGCGAACCTAACAGCATGGTATCTTCGCTTCAGTTACTGATTCCAGCGAGGCATAGATACCGCCTCTTTATCTCTGAACTTATGGGGGAACACTATGAAAGCCACACGCGAGAGCCATCAGAGCTTTACAGGTCCAATTCAAGCTGATGTAGAGACAAGGAAAGCTGAGTGGTCATGGTGTATATGCAAGCCCCGAGCATCCCTGCGTTACCCTGAGATAGTAGAGGCTTTCAAGCCGGAACCTGTGGCTTTAGCCTGGAGCCTCGAGCTGGATAGCACGCGAAAAAACTCCTCTAGAATGTTTGCAAGACCCATGGAAATCTTGTAAAATTTGCTCAGCATCATGTCGCTTAGGATAAGACGGCTTGGGGCTTGCCTGGTAAATAGCAAAACCACGTACGAAAGAGTCACCGTTGTGACTTTTCAGGATGTCAGACATACCCTTCCACGATGGCAACATGGCTCCGATTCTGCGGCGCCACTGGTCAGACTTTGAAACAAGGCTGATGTCTCAGTCAACGGAGAGGAAGGGGTCGTCGCGGGTGTTACAGTGTTACGTACATCGAAAAATAGTTTGTGCAGATCCAACTACTACCACCATTTACGCGTGCACGAACGATTCTTCGATGTAGGTGAGTGCCTAGGAAGCTTGTCCGTAGCCCATGTAACTGAGTAGCAATCAGTCCTGCTGAACATGGGAGCTGTACCAGCACGCACTCGAAGGGCTCCAATCTTGGTGCAAGAATGTACATCGCTTCTCGAAAATAAGATAACAACCACAATTGTAAACACAGGCGGTTGACAAGCACATTATGATACGCTGTTTGCAGTAATAAGATCTATAGATTACTATTAGAAAATGCTCTTGCAACATTGTTACAAGGTTGTATAGTGTAGCGGTTATCACGTCGGATTCTGATTCCGGAGATCCCGGTTCGATTCCGGGTACGACCTAATCCTTTTGATCTTTTTGTCCCATACACGTCCACTCGCGTTAAAACGACGGACTATTTCGGTAAAATGACGGTTTGCATATGTTACTGCACCGCCCGGTACATCTGCGGTATCGAGGCTTAGACACTAAGATCTAAAAAATAAACAATTCTGCAGCTAAACTCTTAGTAACCTAGTCTTTTCCTAGGGTCGGCCGTCCACGCAGCCTTTCAGCCGATGCACCTAAAGGTACTGCCAGCGCACAAAACAATTTTACCAAAATTCTCGAAAGAAACCCTCGTCAACCTCGTCGTCGACCTTGAACGATACACCCGACGGTTCCAGGCTCGGGGCAGCAGGGCTGCTAGGAACAAAGGCGAGATCTTGCTCGGTGGGCTCAATTTTTGTCGGAATACGTTGCCCTGCGGATACAGAAACGACGGCAACATCGTTATCGCTCTCGAGCGTAAGGTCAATACAGACAGGAGAAGCCATCGCGACAAGGCTTACACTGGCAACAAGGGCGGCAGTGGGAGGATACACCAGGCCGGTGGCTAGGCATGGGTATCTGTCTATACTACTGGCTTGGCGTCGATTCCAAGGCCTTGGCAGATAGCCTCAATGTACTGCACCGCCATATACATGCCAAGACCGTCATTTTACCGAAACAGTCCGTCGTTTTAACGCGAGTGATACACGTCTACGCATTTGCTCTGGGGTGACTCCGCAAATGGTCAAACAGGGTCGACTACCATGGCGATGCTGTTTCGCTTAATGTTTTGTCTATTGGTATGGTGCCTCAGTCAGTGCCTATGAGACAAAGAAATTGTAATCCTTGTGGAAGTCACCCGTATCACAAGCCGCGGGGTCGAACCGGAGCTTAAGTTTGTACAAGCCTCCCATTTGCTTGGAACATCCCGCATTCGTGCGAAACACAACACTCTATTCAAGATTGTAAAGAGTGGGCTGATGTAAAATGGTCAAGGTACGATCAGTAACGGAGTGTGAAGTCACAACTATTATCACAGGGACATTGGGGGAGAGAGCGTGATTTGATAACTGGCAAAGCCGTTGTTTATCATTCAGAACATTTGTTAGGTTGTGGTATCTTAGAACTCATGCGCTTCCACCAAAATTACAATATGTGCAGCGGCTATAGACATTGTGCCGAAATTCAAAGTAACCAAACGCTCTCTTTCTATTTCTTCCATCCTCAGCATACAGGGGATTTACACGGCCGAGCCATGATGCTCGACGTCAGCGCCGATGGACTTGTCAAGAAGACCGCCATGGGAGGCCATGGTGCTGGCGAAGGTGGTGGTGGCCCTCCACTTGGCGGATGTGCGGGGGGTGGACTCCTCCAACATCTTGTCGACCTGCTCAAGGGTGAGACCCTTGGTCTCGGGGACGAGGAAGTAGGCGTAGACGAAGGCGCAGGTGCAGAGACCGCCCCAGATGAAGAAGACGGAGGACTTGAGGTTGCCATGCTTCTCAGACACCATGTAGGGGGTGATGACGGCAATGATCTGTTTGATAGTCAGTTAGCGATGTGAATCAGAATATCATGTTTATAAAAGAGTGTGTGTGGCGGCACGTACAGTGTTCCACAGCCAGTTGGAGGCGGTAGAGAGACCAACACCGCGGGAGCGGATGGGAAGAGGGAAGATCTCGCCGATGACGATCCAGGCACCAGGTCCCCAGGTCGAGGCGAAGAAGAAGATGAAGATGGCGATGAAGGCGATCTGGGCGTTGACGGCAGAGATGTTGTTGGCAATTGAGTCACCAGCGGCATTGAGGTGGGACTTGTTGAAGCCGACAGTGACACCGATAATGGCGACGAGGAACTGGCAGATCAACATGCCGAGAGCTCCATAGATCAGGAGAGGGCGACGGCCGAAGCGCTCAACAGTCCAGAAAGACAGGGGGGTGGAGCAGACGTTGACGAGGGTGAAGATGAGCGAGATCAGGAAGGTGTTGCTGATGGCGCCAGTCGACTGCAGGAAAGGAGTGGAGTAGTAGAAGATGAAGTTGACACCCGTCCACTGCTGCATCATCTGGAGAGAAGTGCCGAGGATGGTGCGGCGGAGGTTGGAGCGTCCGTGCCAGAGAGTGCCCTTGAAGCAGTTGGCCCACGAGCCGAACCAGGTGGTGCTGGGGATCAGCTGGCGCTCGTACTCCTCGTTGGCGACGATCTCGGCAAGCTCGACCTGGATGTACTCGGAGTCCTTGGGCTGGCCACGAAGGCGGGACAGGGCATCGGTGGCCTTGAGGAGGTTGCCGCGCTTGACGAAGTAACGAGGAGAGTCGGGAAGAAGCATGAGACCACCGCCAAGGATCAAAGCCCAAGCGAACTGGATGGCAATGGGAATGCGGTAGGCACCAGTGTCGTGGCGGCCCTTGGTAGCATAGACGACGATAGAAGCCAACATGATACCGATGGTGATGCAGAATTGGTAACCAGCGACCAAGGCACCACGGACCTTGCGAGGGCACTGTGAGACGCAAACTTGTTAGTCGACTTGTCACGAGCACAGGGAAGTCGCATGAGTGTGGAACATAATAACACTTACAATCTCAGACATGTACAGGATAACAATGGCAGACTCAAAACCGACACCCAAACCAGCAATGAGACGGCCAGCAACGATGGCACCCAGAGGGTCACCGAGACCAGTAATCATCTGGATGATGACTCCACAGAGGTAGATGAAGCAGCCCAGGATGACGGTCCACTTGCGACCAATGAAGTCGGCGAGGTCACCAGCGATGAGAGCACCGAAGAAGGTACCGCAGGACAGGATA